TGTCTCCACTTCTGCCCTGAGCAGGTGGATAAGGATCAGTCAGGCATACAAGGTGTAGGGGTTAGTACCTCCAATAGGGGTCACAGGGCACTCTATGGGGGGCAGTCACATCGGTGGTATATAGGGCCTTGCTATCCCTAGAAGTCACTTGTAAGGTGGTGACTTGGAAATTTGTCCATTCCTTTACAAAGTACTATAGGATTGACAAACTAGCCTCGGCAGAAGCAGCATTTGACAGTAGAGTGCTCCTTCAGGCCCTGTAGGCACCAGAAGTTGTGTGACCCACCCAAGGGGAGCACTGCTTTTTTACGTCCCAGGAGTAAGGAGTCAAGGACTGCCCCACTCCTGGACCACTGGACAATGGAAGATTTGTATTCACTTACCGTGAAGCTTCCTTCTCGGTGGTCCAGAGTGGGGCAGTCCTACCCACCCTCTCTTGATGGACACGACTTCCGGTCCTTTACATTGTGCAGTGGTTCAGCTGTTCATGAATATGGTCTAACTGATTACGTGATGTGGCGGACTGTTGCTGTTTGTTTGCTCTAATGGTTAAAATACAGTTTTGTATTTGTTTAAGCCCATGGCTGTGATGGTATTCCCCAGTTGCCTGAGGGGGGAGGAGTTATTTTTTAAGTGAATTTACAGAAGCTTGGAGGTGGCTTTCGGTATGACTGGGGATCAGAGGATAAGCCCCTCCCCTCTGGGATCAAAGTTTGCTGGCCCTGCCTATGGAAGGGGGAGGTGCTTTCCCGGGAGTAAGGAGTCAAGGACTGCCCCACTCTGGACCACCGAGAAGGAAGCTTCATGGTAAGTGAATACAAATCTTCCATTCTCACTGAAACTCAAGGTGGATTATACAGTGTAAAGCAATACAGTCAACAGGATGGGGACATCAAGTAAGCAGTGCAATAGAATTAGGAGTGCATCACATTACATGACAAAAGCTGGATCCTTGAAGTACCAGCAATGTGAGTAGGCAGAAAACCAACCCATGCCGGTTTTTCAAACAGCCTCTTATGTCCAACAGTAAAGTGAGTAAGCCTAAAGAATCATTAATGTAATACCTACCAACCAGGGAAAGTGCGCAGGATTAAACATACTCCATTCTTCTGTTGCAGAGCCAGTTTATGCAGTCATTTACATCCAAAGTTAACCATTCTCAGCTTTCTTTTGCCCTTAAAATTCTGAACTTTTTCTAAAACGTGTTGGAAATCGAGATCATAGTATTGAACAAGTTTTTGAACCAACTGGACTGCTTGTGAACTTTTCTCCTTTATCCCTTCAACACATACAGTTAATAAGCATTATCATTATTAATCTCGTGTTCTGTTGTGTTTTTTTCCTTTCAAAATAGTATTCTAACCAGTAAGGGTACATTTCTAAATTCTAGCTATGCATTTATAAAAGCAGCAGCAATATTATCTTGTTCACCCTTTAAGCGTTTGAGTACATCACAATTGTCACAAATAATTTTCCCAATTTTTCCATTTATAGCATTATTGTTATTGGTTTTAAACGTTCCCTTCACCTGTCCCAGATATTTCTTCCAAAAATAGTTTTTAAAAGAGTCTCTAAATAAGGCAACTGCAGAATAATACTATAACCCATTTTTAGAATGTTATTGTGAGTAGCAACTGCATTGTTGTTATTTATTACTTAATATGATTATAAGTTTACAGAAAATAATGTACTAACACAATAATGTTTTATAATCTAAAAAAGGGTGTTTTCCTTAGCAGTGACCTTGAATTAAATTATTCAGATGTTCGCTTTTCCTCATTGTATTGTAGGTTGTCACTTTATGGTACAGAGCTCCTGAAGTTTTGCTTCAATCAAGTTATGCAACACCAGTTGATCTTTGGAGCGTCGGCTGCATTTTTGCAGAAATGTTCCGTAGAAAGTAAGAAATAATTTTTTAACCTTTTTCTTATTTCAGCATAGTACATTAATCTTGTATACAATAGAGGGTCCATGAACCATGTTTGAAATTATGAACATTTAATAATTGATTTACCAGTGCTCTCCCAATTATTATTTTTCTGAACAAGATGTCTTGGAGATCTCTTTTAGCTTTTTTGCCAACAGTTTCATTTTTAATCACATACAATGACAACAATGATATCCATATTAAGGGTGGGGATATGTCTCTTTTTAAAAGACCTCATCCTGTTATTTTCTGAGGTTCAAAAGGCCATTTTTGAATACAGAAAGAACATAGAAAGCAGTACAACCCGGTTCACTAAGCATTTCTCCTTCAGAGATACTGAGGTTTAAGTCTGTTTGGAAAGCACACTTTCTGATTTAGAAATTTTATCCCTGTTTCCTGAAGGTGACTGAGACTGGCTAGAATTACTCAGAAATGAGGGAAATGCACTTTCAAGTTTATGTATACTTTTATTGCAATGAGTCAAAGTCATTGCAAACAAGAAATACAGAATCATAAAATCACAGCACAAACAGTTACATTTCCAGCTATAGTATAAAATTCACAACCATAATAACAAAGATTTATTTCATAATATTTCATAATAATGAACTACACCATAACAAAAATTACTTTGTGTTAGACGTTTATTCAAATCTGATCTCCCTGACAGTTGTACTAAAATAATTTCAAGGTTTCTGTCCTGATCCTCTGTAAACCTTGGGCATCAAAAGGTCACATGGGCCAGATCTTCAATGTATCTGTGGTCACAAGAGCAAACTTGTTGATCATGTGGAGTCCTGTTGACAGTTGTAAAATGTCCATGCAAACTTTAGTAAATGCCTTTCTGTGCTCAGTAATCAGCAAATCCTCAAAGTATGCCGCAACAATTAAAAGAAGGAAATGCACTTTATTACTCATGCACCCTTCAATATATTCTTATTATGTATCTTGTAGGGTTGACTCCTAGCATTGAAAACTGGAGTCAGAGCTAAACTGTGGGAATCTGGGGCACAGGTTAAACCTTGAAAGTGCTGCTTGTTACAAACTCTTCCATACATTTATCAAATGACATTGGTTGGGGGTTTTGCCCTAAGAAGAGATTAACTCTGCATAGAAAAGTGTGATATGTGATCTGAGCCTTAGATTTATCCATACAATTAAAAATTACCTTCTTGAATAAATCAACTGTCCCTTATTATCTGCTCCAAGCAATTTAAGACAATATGTAGTACGGTGAGTTAACCCATGAGTTAACCGGTTATACTCATTTTCAGACAGCTCTGTTAGGATAGGTAGAAGTTACCAGCTGATCTTAGTGGGAGAAAGGGTTTCATGTTAATCTGTAAACATGATTTCTCCCTTAATGAGGATTGTCTATCAGGAATCAAAACAAATCAGAATCAAAACCAGTCAGTAGTAGAGTTACCACATAATACAAATATTAGTCAATATATTGTATCTTTTAATTGATTAACGAATTTGTTAGTTCAGTCTTTATACATCTGCATACAAATCAAACATTTTGAAGAAAAAAAATGTTTTGTGAAAAAAACATTTACAGTGCCATCCAAAGCAGAGTTACACCCTTCTACTCCCATTGACTTCAGTGGACTTAGATGGCTGTTAACTGTCCTTAGAATGGCACTGTTTTACTTTAGAAACAGCTTGCTTTTCTTGTTTTTAAATTTAAAATGTTGCTTTCAAACTATGCTTTATTATGTATCTATCAACAATAGTCTTAAACTTAGGTGAAAATATTCGTAAAACACTGAAATAATTAGGAATCTGCTGCGTATTCCTGCTCTGACATTCTACAGTCTGATTTAAATCACTTTTTTTTTTGGCCCTCCGGAGGGGATTTTTTTATTGCATTTTATATATAGACTACAAACTACAATGAAAAAAAGGGAGGGGTACTACATTTAGGGAGAAAGTAAAGATAACCACTACTGACTAAAAACCCAAGAGAGGAGATCTTCAAAATAGCTTATATACTATACCATCCCTTTAAACGCTACATTCTATGAATTTAGTCAGTCATGCTTTTATAACTTTTAAATCTTATGTTTAACTGTTAGGAAAGATTCCCTCAGCATCTCCATGTTAAAATATCTTATTTATCAGAGTTCCGTTCAGGGTCTTTCAACCTTCATTTCTTCTTGTCTTGTCTCTTCCGCAGTTTGTAAGGACTTTTAGGAGCCGCTGCACCTTTCTCCGACAGAGAGTCCTCTCCAGAGGACCCCGCGTCCAGCTCGCCGCTGGACTTACTGTCCTTTTCTTCTTTATCCACCTCCTCTGGCTCACCCCGCTGTGCTCTCAAAAAGTCTCGTGCTTTTGCCACAGAGTCAATCTTTTCTTTCTTTTCCTGGAGTTTAAAGGTCACGCCCTCTGGGTATAACCACCTATAGCCAATTGCGTTGGGTTGAAGTAAAAGGATTAAATCTTTATACTTCTTTCTCCGTTGTCTTATTTCAAATGGAATATCTTTCAAAATCCAAATAGTCTTGTCCTCAATTCTCAAAGGTGTCCCCGCCATCGCTCTCAGGATACAATCCCTTACGTGCCTCTTCGAGAATCTCACCACAATTTCCCCAGGCAGATTATTCTTCTTTATGTAT